GCGGTGGTGTGAGGTGTCACTCAGCAAAGAATGATGTGGGAGAACCAGAAATAGTTTAAGGATAGTGCCGAACCCCAGTTTTTTGGTAGCAGAATGCTGTATCTTATTTTCTTCAGCCAATAGGTATTGACATTTTAAATTCCTCCTGAGGCAAGGAAATCTTTCTCTGCTAAACAGTTAAATAAGCTGGATAAAAATAGAACCTAAACTTTCTTTGGAGCAGCATTTGAGTCCAAAGGCACCACAGCGATTGTTTGGAATATACTGTATTTCATGCAAGCGTGATGGAAAGTGTGTATTAAATCGTTAAATACAGGGCCCCTCCTTGTTTGCAGAGATGAATCATTTTGCATTTATAAAAGAGGTTGGGTTGTTCGGTTTGGTTTTTTTTTTTTTAATAGCAGAGCTTTATATGTACCGGGTCCTCAAGTCGCCTAGGTGTGGCAAGGTATAAAACACTTGGGTTTTATTAAATGAAAGTTGCAGGTACGAGGATTAGTTCTGTTGTGTAATACACATTATTGCATATGTTCTAAGCTGTCTTTAAATAATCAATAACCGGAGTGGACACAAAGGATCTTTTTACCTGGGCTTGATTAGGTACATTCAGCGGCTGAAGCCGCTAGGGGTACGCACTTAAAACACGTTTCCTTGGGAAGAAGCTGTTCTGCAGGTGCCGGTGTGGGGAGGCGACAGCCAGCACTCCTTGCCTCGCTTCGTGATTTTAACCGGTTCTCCTCGGGCTGCCGGGCATCACACCGGCTGGTTTTGGCTCTCGTCCTTATCCGTGCGCGGTGGCAGCGTGCGCTTACCCGACGCAGGGTCTGTGCGAGAGGCGATGGCTTGTTATTTTATTACCCCCTCCGCTGTTTGCCAAAGAGGGAGGCCAGGAGCCCGCCCGCACGGTTTGCACAGCGACGTCCTGGCAGGGAGCTCCTGCAGGGTGTCCGGCCGACGCGGTTCGTGCGGAGGGAGTCATTTGGGGAAGGGGGTGGATTTTCACGGTGATGGAAGGAGGCAGAAGGAGGAGTGTTTGCTAACAACCCCTGACGAGATCTGAAGTTCTTCACCGGCACCGATTCTGCCGAGACGCATTTGAGCTGGTTTGTGAAGGGGGTATCTGCTCAGGCTGCAGAATTGAAATGCTGCGTGAGGTGTGACTTACCCCACCTGGAAAGGGATGCGTGTGCTCAGAGCTGCCTTCACAGCTGATTTTAGTCCGGGGGTCAGCTGCGTGCCCTTCTTCTCGAACGGCTGTAACATACTCACTGTGGCCTGAACGCCCAGCGCTTTGCAGACGGAGCGGTGCTCTGGGGAGAGACAGCAGAAACGGCCTTCAGCGCCGTCGCCTCCGGGTGTTTTCCATATTGCAGAGGCTACGGCACGCGGGAACGTTCAAGGCCCAAAAGGTCCTGCAGTTCGTACCGCTGTTGCCCCGCAAAGGAGGTCTCCAGGAGCGGCGTGCTCTGGAGGCTTTGCATACATTAGCTGATGTCCTTCCAGCAGTTCGCCGTTCCCTCGCCCTCAGTCAGTAAGGACGCTGCTCCCTCTTTGCCGCCCCCGTGGGCCCCCGACACCCCCCCACACCCAAGGGTGTGCGCCGAGCAGAGCACGGCGGGGTGCAGGGGGATCGGGGCACCGGGCGTTAGTCATTCCTGATTTGTTTGATTGCTTTTTTGGAAGGTCAAATGCACAGGCGTTACTGGGGACAAAAAAAACCCACATGGCTTTGTGTTGCCCACAGCTAGGGGCTTAGCGCTGTGCGACTGGTACAGCTGTAAACCTCGGAAATGTTATTCTAAATGGGTTTTTTACAGAATAATTCGAATAGATATGTCCTTAGCAATAGAGCACTGAGATGTGGAATGCGTAACGTGAGTGACTCTGCAGGAATAAATATAAACAAGACAAATTGTGTAGCTCCCTCAGAAAAACCCCAGCAGTGCTCAGCACATGATCCTTAATGTGCTTTGGTCAATATCTTTCTCTGTATCAATGGAAGCTCATTAAAAAAAGATATTGCAGACTAACTGAGCCACGCCGTATTAGTTCTTGCCAAAGCTTGACATTTTTAATACATTAATAATATGTCTGTAATGTAATGGAAAACTATTAATCAGAACTGGTTATATGCCAGAAATTTAAGCCATAATTGGCCGCTTCTTGTCAGGAATGTCTGTCGTACACTGCTACAGCTGCCTAATGCTCAGATGTGTTGCACTCCTCTGCACTTTTTCCTTGTCAGTGCACTAAATTCAATCGATGTTATAGTCTATAATTCTGGGTAACGACCATCATTATGACTCTGGCTTACTTTAATGAGAATTCGTTATATGGGAAGTATTTTAGCACAGTGTGTTAAGGGAGTGGCTTGCTTCACGTTATTTTAGTCCCATCCAGTCCTGTTTATTAGTGGCTCTGATTCTCAGCAGTTATAAAAGGTTACAGGTAACTGAAGAGCTAGCAAGAAAACAAATCTACTTTTGCCTGAATATACAATATACAGGCTTATAGTCTAAGGATAATTAAACTGAGTAACTTATTTCTACACAGAAACACGATGTTCACCTACTGTTCATTCCAGCTATGACCAAGCCTTCTCCAATACAGAGTACGTTTTGATTTGTCACAAATTTAAAATAATTTGGCTCCTTTTTTAGCAGAGCAGTTGTTTCCCTTTTGTATAGTGACTGTTCTAAGCTATGGGGGTTTGGGGGTGTTTTTCTCCCTACAAAATAGTAAAATGCATTGGAAAGG